GGGAGAGTTTTCAAGAATAACATGTATAAATGTCGATTTTTTAAGAATATAGTCATTTTTGTAAAAGATATCCGATGTTGATCGTATTTATTTTCGTAATTCCATACTTTTCGATAGAAATATCGAAGAGAAATCGAAAAAAGAAATTTCACGTTGAGTTTTTATTGTAATCCAACGTTTCATTGGTTTTTTGTCCCAATCTACGTATCTTCCTCGTAGATATCCTCTGTTGATGTTTTCCCTCGTGGAAAACATTGCATATATCATCAATGAAACATTTATTACAAAAAACAAGAAACATCATGAGAAGATTTATAATTTCTTCGAACGTGATGATTTTTCTTTTTTCGATCGGATCATTTGGATGAATAATGAAGCTTGCCAAAGATTTAGTGTTCTACAGCGGATTTAACGTTAACCGATAGGACCAGAAAAAAAGGACAAAAATCACGTCGAAATTTCGTAGAATGAAAATCGTGACTGTTTTTTTTCCAATAAAATAATTCCGGAGTCAGATGTGCTGTGTCAATGGTTTTCCATAGTTGAATTTTTATGAAATCAACCCCTAATTTATTTATTTACATATTCAGCCACCATCACGATTAGATTTCGTCACACCCGACAAATTGAAATTTGAAATTTTCTCATTGCTCAATTTGTTCATCAGATATGCTCTGTTGAAGATTTTTGTCTGCAAACTTCAGGGTCATTATGATATTGGGTGACAGGCCGCCATTTGTCACCATAAATCAGATATATTTTTCAATTTCTTGTTATTCAACTTATTCTGAATATAAATTAGAAATGCTCTTTGAAAAAATTAAGAATTTTTTCTACTTTTTTTTATTATTCATTCATAATTTTTCAAACCTTCTGCATGATGCAGGACTCAGTTGACAATTTCAGATGACGAAAGATGAAAAAAAACATCGAGACATCGACCCATGAATTTCTCGACACAAGTAAAGACGTACTTCTAAAAAAACTCTTGTCTTCTCAGTGTACCGTTACCTCTTAATCAAAAATTGAAGACCAAGTGCAACTGCATTATCTCGTTTGGGTTGTTAAGAGTTTGTGAAGTGTAATGGCAAAATAACAATTCACTGAGAATATATATAAGAGATTTAATTCCCTCGTTCTACATCTGTGTTGAATAAATTATATCGTAGACGTTTGTTTTAATCACAGCAGCACTTGAATTAATAGCTTTTTTAGAAATTATCTAGATTAGAGTGGTGCTAGAGTTATCGTGGTAATTCATTTCCCTTGTGGCTCTTTACCAGTATATACTTTGAAATGACATGCAATCCATGCTGGGGTGAAGAGTACGCCAATCGCAATGCAAATCCCGAATGCAACTCTTTCCTGTAAATTAAGAAAATTTTGGTTTTTACAATTTTGTATGTCGTAATAATTTACCGAAGGATTAATCGTGTATATTTCTATTTTGTTTTTCAGTCCACGGGTATTGTTTGCCAAATGCGCCGGAGGGCTGAGGGCAATCGATGGAACAAATGGTAAGAGCAGAGTTCTATGATATCGATCCTGATACCAGGGATAGCCATACATTAGCCATTAATTATAATTATGTTATAATTAATAGCCATTAATTATAATCACTGTTAAATTATTAAGTCGTCAATTATTTAATGTCACTTTTAAATTTTAATTATGGAAGGAATCATCAATTTAAATATTCAAATTGTGAATTATTCATTAATCAAAAATTGAGTTAGGAAGATTGACGATTATTTGGATAATAGGAAATCCCTTATAAGAAATTTAGTATTATCTACTAAATAGAAAATTTATAGTTCCATATTTTTGAATATTTAATTCATTATCAATTGGAAATTTAGATTATCCATTATTTTACTTTTTTTTTTATTTCGATTACTGTATTTAAACCTTGATCAATGTTGGTCGGAAATTCTTCTAATATTTTATTTATTTTAATATTTCATTTTTCACTAAATTTTCCATGTACATTGAAACATTAAAAATTTCTCCAACTGACGCTTTACTCAAAGTTTCACTAAAATTTGATAGCGACTTCCACAAAATCAATGTTGATGGGAAAAATCTTGATTGCAGATTTAAAATTGTTTATGCAAAAATAACAAAACGTTTATCCCGTTATTCACAATTTCATACCAGAAAGATTTTTTGGGAGTTCCCAGTAAGTCTTCTAACTTGGAGATGTTTTCAAAATATTTTGCATGAAATTTTTTTCCAAATTCCAATGCGCAAACATCTCCGGAATTCCGAGGCTTTTCGAAATTCATCATGAGAGCTTTTTTGTATTGGCAAACATTACTCAAAAGTCGATATATACCTTATCAACTTATATGCCTTAACAATTTTCTTATTTTTGCTGCAAAATTTTCCATTAAAAAAGTGGAAACGTTTGCGAATTTTAGAATTTCTGTAATACTGAAAATTCTCCCTGACAGTTGTAATCTCTTACAAATGAATGTTGAGGTGAAAAAGATCAATATTTGAACCGTTAGAAAACATTTAAAAAATTAGAAAAAAAAATAGAAAGTTTAGTTTTGGAGGAAGATTGATGAAATAACTGGAAAAGTACAATTTTGGATAATTACGAGAATTTTCTATAAATAATTTATAAACAATCAATTTCTCTTTATATTATAAAAATCTAAATCCATTTCTGGTGATGAGAATTTGGTAGTGGAAATGAAAACTCCAAAATTAAGGGTCAGAGTAAGCGTCCAAATAAGGGTCATGAGGGTCATATGCGGGTTGGCGAGCGGAGCGAGCAGGGGGCGTAACCCCCTACTTCTACCATAAAAATTAATTGTTCGGAATCATAACAAATTTATTCATATCTACAATTCTACCAGAAATCGATCTTCACGCTAAAAAAAAACAAGTTTTCCGAAAGTATAAACAATTTCAATTATTTATTTATAAACAACGAATGTTGAAAAAATAGTAATTTTGTGCAAAATGTAATTTGAATGACGCTGAATATTCCTGATTTGTTTCAATTTTTTCGCACGTAATTTAATTGACAAATTTGATAATTGAAAATTGTTGACTCGATATTGTGGTCTGTACAAAACTGTAAAAAATACTTGGATATCCTTAAATCGTTTTATCGCTTCGCAACTGAATAACACTCCAATAACGATTTTAAAGGAAAAATCCAGAACAAATCATCATCCATCCCAGTTTTTCACAGAATAAAAATGAATAGAAAAAAAAAGAAAATTCTTTGTTTTTTTCTTGTTGCAGACAATGTCGTTGATTTTTCGGAAGCACTCAAAGCCCACACATGAATATTCTCTGGTACCTCAGCTCTGATAAAGCAAAATATTTCCAAAAATTCTGCGTCAACTCATAAAAGACGAGGAAACCCTTCCGCAGCGCAAATGGTAATTTCCGCCTAAATACCCCCATTACATAAGAAACGAAAATTATGCAGAAAAAAATGCTCAAAAACTTACGTATAACGGAACTCTGTTTTTTGGAGGTGCCACAAGCAATGTCCTGCACTGTCCGGCTTGCCGACTCACAACGAGTCCATGTCTCACAGCATTTTGTATCGCGAACATTTTGCCTCACCAATTATCAAGAAAATTTGCAGAGAAAATTCGATGCGGGGGTCTTGAGCGAGTACAGGACAGCGGAGTACTCTACATCCGGAAGATGAACTCGCTCGGTCCAATAACTCGGAGGTCAACTGTACAACTCCATTCAAAACATGGCCTAGTACAGCCCCCAAAAGCCTCCACTCACAATTGAAAAATGCACAAGGAATATTACACGAACTTATTCATGAATAACAAAAAATTGGAAAAATCTTCTACATCTGGACTGAGTTACGTAGCGTTCATTCCAAAAATAGGGAATCATGTTATATATATACAGAATGCACCCACGGCGCATCCGCAAAGCGGCTGTAATTCTACGTGTATCAAATTCTATGTGTAATAAATATTGAATCTTGAAAAAATATATTGAAAATTTTAATGAACAATTCTGTGCCACCAAGGAGACAGTGGGGCAAAATGAAACAGCGGGGCAAAATGAACCAGTCAAAAAAAATAACTGTTTGACGCGATTCAAGCAAAAAAATTTTTTTTACTCATTTTTTTGTATCAATTTTTTTTTATTCTTGGGAGTACTGATGAAAATAATAATTTTCCATTCAGTAGAATGGAAAATTATGACTCTCACCGGTACTCCCAAGAATAAAAAAAATATTTAAGGCCCGGGTGGATTATTTTTCGAACGTGATCTTGATTGTTGTTTTTCTATTTTTATAATCTGAAATGATCTCCAATTGCTATTCTGTTTTACATAGCCCTGGAGTCTCCAAAAATTGTGATTGTACAATCAAATAAACGCTGAAAAAAGGTGAACAGCTTCAATGAGCATTTGTGAATAATATTGGGAGATAAACTCAATATGGAGGAAATCGCAAATTAATAATTTGATGTGTCTAATGGCTGTTAAATTATCATTTGTCACAGTAGTCAATAGCTGTCAGATTGTTAGTTACCATGATAAATTATCCATTCACTATTTTCTTCCTATCAAACTTATTTCTTAATCTTTATTAAAAATGCTCTTTGAAATTGTTCAATTTGTTTCTACTTTTTTTGATTGTATAATCATAATTTTTAGGGACTCCTGTGTGATGTAAAATCGGATGGAAATTGTGAAAAACAATCGAGATAACATTCAAAAGATAATCCACTCGGGCCTTAATAAAAGAAATTTTTTTTGCTTGAATTGCGTCAGACCGTGGTTTTTTTGACTGTTTCATTTCACCCCACTCTCCAATATTAATTTTCAGTAATTGAATCATCAGTTCTTCCTCTTATCGAGGGCTTCATTGAGAAAAAAAAAATATTTTTGCCAAATATTCATTCACTTGAGAGAAACGTTCATTTTTTCAAAATTATCTTTCTGCAATCGGGTCGTTCCCAGGCTAGCCTGATTAGGTTTCAATTGAGACAATCATGTTGCTCTAGAGAACGACTCTGTTGCACACGACCCTCGATGAACTCCTCCAATGAGTATTAATCCTCCTGAAATTTCTTACTTTCTAGAGGAAAGAATTTGAATTAATTTTTTAAACTAAATTAACTAAAATTTAAACTGAATTTTTGCAAAAAATGATAATTTATATTAGTTATTACTGATAAAAAACAAGGTATCTTGAGCATAAATATGTATTGCATTACTGAATAAACGTTGAAACAAATATAAACGTTAAATATAAAGCTTCAAAATTTATCTAGATCGCATCATTAGGTTCACAGATATTAAATATCTCTTATTGAACAGTCCACTATCACCACTAATAATAAATAATCGTAATACTCTAGGTAAAATAATCCTTCATCAGTACCAAGGATTGCAATTGAATAAATCCTTAGTGTGTGGTAAAGCCGCTCTAATTAAATCCTCCCAAATGAGCTCATTAAGAAGTTGTTCTTCATTCAAGGGAGTAGAATTGGGCAAAATGGACTTTTTCAAATAATTAATACTTCTCATCAAACGAAATAATTAAAAAAACCTCTCGAGGATGGAAAATAAGTCTGCAAATTTCACTCACCCAGTTTCTAACTCAGTAGCGAAGCGGTAAAACGGGTCAAGTCGATTTTGACTATAGGCCAGTTTTTGACGAATATCTGGGAACCTAAAAGAGATGAAAAAATTTTTGTCACGACATTTTTTGTAGAGCCAATTGAGGGTTATAAAAAAGGTCATGAGACAAATTTTGCTATCTCTCTTAGATTTCGAGATATTCATCAAAAACTGACCAAAAGTCAAAATTGTCTTGACCCGGTTAACCACTTTGCTCCTGAGTTATAGGAGAGGAAGATAAAATGGACCGCTTTTAACTATCATCAAATTGGCAAAGTGAAATTCAATGATTTTCTGAAGATATTTCTCTGTAAAATGAGATCTGATTCATCATAATCGGACCATTCGTCAGGAGACATCAACGATTTGGAAATGTCTTAAGGATGTACTACACTTTTTTTTCATTTTTCAGTTTTCTGGCAAATTATTGATTGGATTAACGCGAAATAATATACCATTTTTGCGTTTTATCATTATTGACTGACTCACGAAGTTTCATGGTAGTGAAATCATTTTCCTGCATTTTTTCTAAAATTTTGTGAATTTCCGAAAAGTTTTAGAAAAGATGCAGAAAAATGATTGCACGATCATGAAATTTCGTGAGCCATTAAGTAATGATAAAAGGCCAAAACGGTATATTTTTTCACGTCAATCCAATCAACAATTTACCAGAAAAAGGGTGTAATACATCCTTAATTCTTCATCACGCACATGGCTTTTGAAAAAGTTGTTCTTCAATGCCGTTTTTCTTATAGAAAATGAACATAATAACGAGAAAATGAAATTAAATGGGAAAGTTGAAGGTTTGAGAAATAATATTTCCCAATAATTTTCATTCGGATTGTTAAGAAGGTCAATTTTTCTTCATACAGAGCAATTCACGTCAAATCCGAAATGAAACAAGCAGGGAACAACGGGCATATGACAACGCGCCAGTCACAGTGAGCATGTCAGTGAGTGATGTCTTTTTTTTTCGTCATCAATACATTGATGGCGAAAACGATTCCGAATGGTCTGAAATATTACAAAAGTTTATAGCTTCACAACACTAACTAGCAGCAAAATTTTCTGATGGTTATTGCCACCTTCATGGGTGCTCTCAAAATTCCAATGTTTCGAATATTTCGTATGAGCGGGTATACATATTTTCTGTCCAAATTTCAAGTTGATATCTCGATTTTTGTACACGCTAGAGTGTTTAAAAAGTTTTTTTCTGAAAAAACGGGAATATCTCGAAAACTTTGTATGAACTGGTATATATGTTTTGATTGATTTAGACAGAAGTGATCGAAACGAATGTTTTGAAAAAAAAAATCGAAATCGATTCACTAGTTTTGAAGATATTTGCGGAAAACGAGTTAAAAAGGAATCACTTTTTCTAAAAAACTATTAGATCGATCGGACTGAAATTTCGCACAGAGCTAGTCCTCATTAGAATCTATAATCTGACGAAATTTCATATTTTTGGAATTACTTTAGCCCCTCAATTACTTAATTGTCTAAAAATTTATCTATTGTATTTTTAATTTTTTCTTCTCGAAATTCCGCGAATTTGGTCAAAACACCCCAAAACGAATTCGATTATGTATCAAAAAAATATGTAACATATAAGTATACATTCAAATTCATTTCATACTGTTTATAATCAAAGTCAATCAACGCCATTTTGGGGTATTTCCATCAAATTCGTAGAATTTCGAGAAGGAAAAATTGAAAATAAAATAGATCTGAACGAAACCCAACTTATATGATTGCTCAAAATATTTCTTTTGTTTACAAGAGTTACTGAAAAAAATACAAGAAAAATAAAACGTAATATAATTTTGAAAATTCAAGTTTTTCAACTGTTTTTTTGAAAATTCGGTATTATGAACACCTAGGGGCTAAAAAAAATTACTCAAAATATTCTTACAGATGTTAGAAAATCAAAAATTTTGTCGTGTCATACATCAAAACCGAATGGATAAAACGAGTTATTGAAAACAAACGAAACAACAAGCAAAAAATCATATGTCCGAAATGAGCTGTTAAAAGAATCAGAAAAAAATTGCGAGATAGTTTTTCCAGTCTCCCACTCGTAGAAAAAATCGCGATCAATTTCCAACAGGGTGAAGTTCAGCCATTGATCATTTGCCATGGAAAATCTCATATTTGAATCCAGACACAGCACCCTGGAGCCCCCAACATCCCTCTCGATATCCCCAAAATGGGCATTTACCTCTCCACTGTTGGGAGCATTGCTCCCCTCACATGAACACAACCACCTACACTTTCCTCAGCTTGATATGGTGATTTTAGGTTAGCTACCAGTCAGACTGTACTGTAGAGGGCTATGTGCGCTCTATTTTCAATATGCAGCTCCGAAAGATCGGGGGTAAATCACGAAACACACCTATAATCCTCACAACATGAGTGCAATCAGTCGAGTGTAATAAAGTGGCCAGTGGCACTCGCGATTACTGCATTTACCCTAGATAAATAATATCCCAAAGTGTTCTCACCAGTACCTAAACCAGAATTATCCCCATTCCAGGCAACATCCTTGTAAATAAAATAAAAATAAGCAATGTGTTTGCACCAGGGTAACTGCAACGATTTGTGAAAGTTGAATAGCAAAAAATCTGCTGAGTTGATCCAGCATAAATGATAATTGGAGGATAATTGTATTTATAATGCACTCTTGCGGATTTATTTGGGCCACCGATGCATTCGAATATAAACATGGCCGACTGTGTGTTGTTCAGGGATTGTTTGTATGTGACATTAACTCGTGAATATCATCTGGAGATAATAAATTCGGATACAACAAAATATGTGCAGTAGAGACCCAGGTAATTATGGCAAATCGATTGCTGATGATTGATTAGTGTCAGTGGTAGATATTTCCTCAATGAAATTTACATAATCCTTCGTTTCTTCGTGTAACAGTTGAATTTGTTTTTACTTTGATTGGAAAAATACGTGAATTTTGCACTTTCTCTGCTGTTCACGATGAATTTTTGCTTCTCTCTGTATTACTTTTTTATCAAGCGATAATGATTCTCCAATTGCACTGACCCCTTAATCTGCTAAGTCGACCATGACCTACTTATCGTACGAGAATCACTGCAGCATGCACAGGATTTCAGGAATATGTAATTAGGGAATTGTCTTGGGGTGAGGGGATTCAATGGGGTTTGATGAATTGTTGGGCTTTTTCAGGCTGGTGTCTGGGTGAGCGATGAACGTATTCCGATTGTTGATACCGTGTGCATTGCCCCGTGGCGAAGAGAGTGGTGAAACACTGGAGAACGGTTGCTGGGCAGCATCGGTCACGAGGAGGATTGATAATGATTCACGTATGACACAGAGAATGGGAGCATCTGCCTCATCGAACCTTGCTGCTATCGGTGGCGATCCGATTCAAGCAGCAAGGCTATCGTCTTCCGGCAATGTTGATCAGTTCAGCATTGGTGCAAGGTAATTTATTGTGCTTTAGATGATTTTTTGGGAGACAGACCCAGGGGAGGGAGCTGTGAAGGGGTGGAGAAAGTTTGAATATTGGGGATTTTTTCGTGCAATAGCTTTGTGTGATAGCTTTGGAGTGGAGGGGTTTAGGGGAATTTATGATGAGACTTTTTTTTATTCATTACTATCATAGAATCTATAAAGCTCAATTATAGAAATACAGTCGTATAAAATTTTTCATTGGATAAATGATGTCGTAAGTCTTCTCATTTGAGAACTAATATTGAGAATTGAGAATATTGGGGATTTTTTCGTGCAATAGCTTTGTGTGATAGCTTTGGAGGGGACGGGTTTAGGGGAATTTATGATGAGACTTTTTTTATTCATTACTCCCATAGAATCTAATAAAGCTCAATTATAGAAATACAGTCGTATAAAATTTTTCATTGGATAAATGATGTCGTAAGTCTTCTCATTTGAGAACTAATATTGAGAATTGAGAATATTGGGAATTTTTTCGTGAATATCTTTGCAGTGAAGGGGTTTAGGGGAATTTATGATCAGATTTTTTGTACAAAATTTTGATGAAATAAAAAGAATCCATTCAAGAATTCATTCTTTAAGATGGCATCAAAAAAATTAATGGTTTCGAGCGTCGAGAAATCAACGATTTATTCATCAAAGATTTATTCTAATGTTCATCTAGTATTATTTTGAGAATATCTTTGGACTGAAGAGGTTTAGGGGAATTGATGAGAAATCGATTTTTGTTGACGATTTCCAGGGCTACAAGAATGTTATTTTGGTATAACTCACCAATGACACAATTCAGCATTGGTGCAAGGAAATTTATCGTGGCTTAGATGATTTTCTAGGAAACAGGCCCAGGGAAATCAATGGTGGAGGGATGGAGATTTGAAAATTAGTTGCGAATTGTCTCGTGAATATCTTTGGAGTGAAGGGGTTTAGGAAATTTATGATCAGACTTTTCGTACGAAACAGGGATCAGTATCAATGATTAGATTATTAATGTTAAGCTTGCACCTTACAATAATTAAGGTTTCCTTATCTTCTTTGAAATGTGAAAAATCATAAAGTAATTGACGATTTAAATTTGTAATTGACTATGAATTAAATAATTGACAATATAGAATTGACAATTAAATTTAATTTCATAAAAAGGATTTTCGATTATTCAAATAATCGTCAACCTTTCGAACTCAATTATTGATTCAGAAAATAATGCGGTATTTGAATATTTAATTGATGATTATTTTAATCATTAGAAAATAATTGATCGAAAATCAGGTGTTTTTGAAACTTATTATTTCGGTCAAGACGTCACAAAGTGGCATAAGTAATGCTGAGTAGCGCTCCGTTGGTCTAATGTGAGAAAGAGGGGAGTTACCGCCATCCATTGGATAAGGCGCACGTGAAGAGTGAGTTAGGTTGGCTCGAGCCATTTTTTGATTGGTCCAGCGTTCGACTGCTTTTGTGACCTCATTAGCGATTTCAAAGTGTTTGAAATCTTCAACTTTCTGCAATCAGTTATTAATTAACGAGCAATATTTCTAATGTTTATAAAAGGAAAATTAATCATTTAAGGTCGAAACTTGAGATTAAAAAATGAAAAAAAATCATGCAAATTGCCTATTGATTCATTTTTGTTAAAAAAAAAAAAGTTATGTTATTCTAGTGATGTTTTGTCAACAACTTTAGAGGAAAGAAGTTCAGGAAGATTTATCATGAGACTTTTTGTAGAAAATTTTAAGGATTATAAAAAAAATTCTCGTCAACTTCTTTATTTCCAAAATAAAGGGGGGGTTAAATTTGATGTATATCCCTTTAATTAATTATAAAATTGATTCTATCAACTATGTTAGCAAAAATCATGTACAGATGTTTTCTATGAATAATTTTATTAGATCCCTTTTCATATTTCGCTCCAAAATTGTTCATGTATACGATAGACGCGCGCAAAGCGCGCGTACTAATCTAGTATCACGAAACTGAACAAATCTATTCGGCGTATTGTCTTGTTAGATTTTTTATAAATGATGATAATATACATTAAAGATATTACGATAATACTATATTACATTCTATATTATATTATATATACTATGTATAATATACAATATATAATAGAGTACTATATGTATTATAAAATAGTATAGTATAGAATATAATATAATATAGAATTATCGTAATGTCTTTAATGCATGCTATCATCATCATTTATTAAAAAAACGTTACACTGAATTTTTTATTTATGGATATTTGAATTATTAAGACGGTCGTTATATTTAAAGCTACGTCAATCTACTCCTCCATTACCAACACTTTTGGCAAATTGGATTTACATGACTAATATGATATCGATTTCCTGCTCCACGAATTTCGTATATTTTGCTCTATTATCAAATTTTTATTGCAATGATGCTAGTATGAGTCGTCACCCTGGCACAAAAATGATGAATATTTAAAAGCAAAATCCCACACTGATACAACGGTTTAGTCGAACCAAACGAGTTCTGAAAGACTCAAGATACCGAACAAACTTATCAAGAATTCATTACACAACATGCAAAGTTGATGCATTTCCTTACGAAAGGAAAAAGAACAATGAAGCATGTGATTTTCGCAAACGTCACGAAGCCTCAGCAGAAATTTTCCGATATCTCCACGTATTTCCACTGAATTTCCATCGATTCTTCCTGTCCCAATTCTGTCTTCGCATTCCTTTCATAATTACTTCCCGAGAATATCCCCTATGAATTCTGCCTATTTACCCGAGTGGAGAATCTAAGAGAATTCCCAAAGTATTTTCGAAACGAAGAGAACGGGCCATGATAAACAACCTATTGAACGAAACCCACTTCACATGTCTGGAGAACAATTTCCATAAACATCGCCACTCCGAAATATTCGCAAAACAATACGAGTTGAATATAACTCGTAAGCCTTCGTTAGTTATGCAATTATGGCAAAAGTGAATTACGTTAGGATGAAATATCAGAAGATTTATTTATATCCGAGCAAATTCTCTACCAAAAATATCTTTACATGATTTCTCCTAACATAGTTAATGAGACAGATAATTCGATAATTAATCAAAGGTATCATATCAACCCAAACCTCTAGTTTACTTTCGAAATATCCTGGGAATGATGAGGTTTTCAACATACATTCAATTCAATTCAATTGTTTATTTATCCTTTGGTGATTACAAATGGTAAGTTTTTCTTTGTGTCACACTGTCACTAGCCTTTCCCTCTCCCCTTTCATCACAGAAAAAAAGCGTTATTTTAAATTCTAAATTATCTTTCCATATATATATCTAAACACATAGTTTCTTTTCACTCTGGTTTTTTCCTTCCCTCATCAAATCCTCTAGTCCGCTCTTCTGCCTTCCTCAGCGCTCTCTCAATTCCTGCCATCCTGTCACACATTTTCTTGTGGGCCCTTTCCTCAATTCCTCAATTATTTTTTCTCTCCACCCGTTTCTGTTCATACCCTTTTTCCATTTCCCCCACCAAATCTCCTCCGGTTTCCAACATAAAAGTTCTTTGCATTCATTCCTCTAGACCTCTTCATCCCAAAGAAATTCACAAAACAATACTAGAATGACAATTGAATTTTTCACATTAAAAAAAAAATGAATTGTTCGTTCCAAAAATATCTGGAAATCGAAGAGATTTATGAGAATTCATCACAGGGACTTATTATTTCGAAAAATCGAAGGAAATTCCCAGCGCATTTTCATAAGAAACAGAATAGACCAAAACCAGGATAAAACCTTCACTTATTTAAAGAAAGCTATTACCGAATGTGTAATAAATTCGAAAACTATGAAAACCTCAAGTTCTTCAAAAATCACACACAGTTTCATACGTCTAGCAAACAATTTTCGTAAACCTCTGCACTCCAAAAATATTCGCAGAACAATACGAGTTGAATATAAGTCATTAGTCTTCATTAATTACACAATTATTGCAAAACTGAATTTATTTGTATCGAAGTAACTTCTCCGCCAAAAATATCGGTAGATGATTTCTCCCTGCATAATTAATGAACCAGATTATTCGATAATTAATCAAAAGTGGATTACCAATCCAAACCGCTAGTTTATTTTCGAAATATCCTGTGAATAACGTGGAAACAGGCATGAAAAAACGCAATAGAAAACCTAGCGAATTTACTAGAAAATTTTACTGAAATTCTATAGGAACTCTATGGGGTTTCTATAGGATTTCTATTGGAATTCTATTGAAAAATTCTATTTTTTACTCGGATTCTATTGGATATTCAATAAGAAAAAGTCAATAGATTTCGAATTTCTGTTTGAATTTTTCTCTTAAATTTTTTCTATTAGAATTATTGGGCGCCAAATTTTCTAAGTTTTTTCCGCAGGATTTTGTTTTATTTTGCATTGTAGAATCCTAGTTGAAAAAACTTGGTGCCCAAGCATTTTTATAGAAAAAAATCTCAACAGAAAAATTTAAACAGAAATTCGAAATCTATTGACTTTTTCTTATTGAATATCCAATAGACTCAGCGCAAAGAAAATAGAATTTTTCAATAGAATTCCAATAGAAATCCTATAGAAACCCCGTAGAATTCCTATAGAATTCCAATAGAATTTTCTAGCGAATTCGCTAGATTTTCTATTGAATTTTTTCATACGTGAATATCCTGTGAATAGGTTTACGAGACTTTATCAAGAGAACATTTTTGTAGCTTTTAGAATTTGAAACAGAAAGTCTTCCCATTCATTTCTAAACCTCTTTACTCCGAAGGAATTCATACTCAATAAAATTTTATCCTCAATAAAATGATTTGTTCGTTCTAAAAATATTTGGAAATCCAAAAGTTTATGAGGATTCATCACAGGATTTTCTTTTCCAAAAAATGAGAGAAAATTCCGACATACACGATTTTCTCTTCCATAAATCTGCTCACTCCGAAGATATTCACAAAACAATACTAGAACGACACATTATTGATTTTCCCACACTCAACAAAATGAATTGTCGTCTAAAAATAGGCTTCTCCGCATGCTCTCCTTTGAATGAATCGAAAAAAACTCCAGTGCATTTTGAAAATGAACAGGCCATCTCAAGCCCATGATAAAGCCTCCACCGTCTGAAAGAAACCCACTCCCAAGTGAAAATTCAAAAACTCTAAAACCCTCACAACTCCTCTAACAATCACACGCGGTTTCACACGTCTAGCAAAGAATTCATCACAAGATGAATTCCCTTTCTTTTCCTCCCTCACCCCCCCCCCCCCCCCCCC